GTATATAAACAATACAGATCTCTCCCCTGTCAGCTCCAGCACGCTGCTTTGTATTGCTCTGCATAGCAAAGCAATACAAAGTAGTGTGCTTACAAAGTAAAAATACACACAGCACATGGTTAACTCTTTGATCGCCCCAGACTTATAGCAGGACTGCGATTGGCATTCTGACATGGGAGGAACTGACTAATTTTCACTGATACCCCAGTGACACTAATACAGTGATCAGTGCTTATAAAAAGCACTGACACTGTACTAATGACACTGGGGATGTCAGTGACAGACAGTAATTTCCCCCCAGTGTCAAAGTGCCTGCTGTAGTCCCACTATAAGTCACTGATGGCCGCCATTACTAGTATAAAAAAAAAAATTCCAGTATATATACCACCGTTTGTAAACGCTATAATTTTCACATAAACCAATTCATTTACATGCAGGGTGGATTTGATTTAAATCAAACTGATTTAAATCACGATTTAAATCACTAGTCAGTAAGGCTTGATTTAAATCATAGTTTTCTACATAAAGACTAATTCTTGCTGGTATAACTTTAATATGCAAGTAGATGAAGATTTTTAGAATAACAACTTTTCATATTAGTTTCACTTTCTTCTTGTGCAGATCTATTCCACTCCAAACAATCAGAAAAATATTGTTTCTATTCTATTCACTGAACTTCTTGAAACTTAGCACTGAAGGGGTTGATTCTGTATTCATAGGTTTGTAGAAGTTAGGATGAAGGTCTTTTTCTTAACTCTGTTCATGTTATAACATTTTTGCTGTGAAGAAGAGGCATGTGATCTCCGCTGAGTCAAATTCAGTTTTGAGAACTGCAAAAGTAAACCAAGCATCTGTGATAATATCTTGTAGGCAGAGAAACTGCCCAATAATCTTACAAAAACCTCTGGAAGAACATGACATTGTGAATGGATTAATGGAATTTATTTACCAAAACAATTAAACATATACAGCCTTATTCTACATAATTAAAAAACTAATCTTTATTTCATGATGGAATAACCTTTGGATGGTAATATATTTTCCTCAAAAAGCATTTTATTTAAAAAAATTCGATTTAAATAAAAAAAATCTGATTTAAATAAAAAAAAAAAATCCGATTTAAATAAAAAAAAATCTGATTTTTTTTTATTTTTTTTAAAAAAATCATTGATTTTTATCCACCCTGTTTACATGTATTGGGATTTTTTTTAGCGAATACATTTTGGCCTAAATTTATGATGGAATTTGATTTTTACATTTGTTTTTTACTGGCCATGTTTTATAGTAAAAAGTCAGAAATATTGGGTTTTTTTTTTTTCAAAATTGTTGGTCTTTTTTTGTTTATAGCGCAAAAAAAATTAAAAATACAGAGGCTATCAAATACCACAAGAAGAAAGCTCTATTTGTGGGGAAAAAAAGGACATAAATTTCATTTGGGTACAGTGTTGCATGACCGCGCAATTGTCAAAGTAACGCAGCACCGTATCGCAAAAAATGGCCTGGTCAGGAAGGGGGGGGGGGGGGGTAAATCCTCTGGAGGGCAAGTGGTTAAAGTGGAAGTCAGCACTACCATTAGGATCTGTGTTCAACATTTACAAACTGGAGCTGAATGGTACTTTAATAGTTTTTAAGGATAAGTTCATCTTTTACTAAAACAATAAAAAATTTTTTGGAGGTATAAAAATGCACATTTATTATTTTTTGTTTCTGGAGCCTCTAAAGCAGGGACACTGAATTTAAATTCACGGAGGTCCAGTTGGTAACATTTTCTTTCCTCAGAGGTCGAAATCTCATTTTTCTTCTATGACTCGGGGCTTTCCCATCACAGCCCCCCTTACATCACAGCTCCCTTTCCCATTAGAGGTCCGCACTGAGGGCGGGAGCCTCCCAACTATTTTTGGTAAAAGGCAAGTGACCCACTTGTTAATATCAAAGGTTGGGCAGCTGCCGTTCCCCCTTTGCACCTTCCGTGCCTCTTGCCCTCCTCCGTGCAGTGAGTTCAGTGACGACAGCGACGAGTACACTCAGAAGAAGAGTCCACCCTGCCATTCCTCCCGCTTTCTGCCCTACTGTGACTTCAACAGCAGTGGCAGCAGGAGAGGTCACACAGAAGAGGAGTCCACCCTGCCATTCCTCCCACCCTCCACAATGCTGAGATTTTTAACAGCTGCAGCGGCAGGAGGAGAGGAGTTCACTCAGGCTGCTAAGTGGTACATTCGCGGTCCAGACATGACTGTCACTCGGTCCGTGTCGGGACCAATGTCTGCCATTTAGCGACTCCTGCTCTAAAGCATTTCACCAGCAATCAGCAGATCGCTGGTACAATGCAGGTCTCCTGCAGACCTGTTAGTTTATCTGTGTGCCCGCAAGCAGATATTGACAGGAAGACTCACTGAACTACCACAGCACAGTAGTAGTTCATTGAGGGCTACAACCCGACTAATGCAAAGGCAGGTGGAACTTGAAGTGTTCTCATTCACAGATTACTGTGAATGAGTGACGCAGCCAGGTGGCCGCGTTTTTAGATAAAATTGTGACAGCTAGTAGGGGGGAGAAGCTAACTGTCACAATGGGGGATTGGGGGTTGTGCGGAGGCTGGTCCATTTGTAACATGTTACATGTTATACCCTGAATATGGGTGTAACGTGACGAAAGTGAACTTATCCTATAACAAAGCTTTCTGAAAGCTCTACAAATGCTTTGTCAAAGCATGCTGTTCACACTGCTGTTATCCAAGCCGAGGCCCATGTGGAGCACGTCTCTTTGGACAGGAACTTTCTGCCAGGAAGGTCCAGCGTTCGTGTGCAAGGACCAGACTCCAATTCTTGTCTTGCCAACCAGATCATACAGAAATTTTTAAAAACTTAAGAAACCCTGGAACTGGTGCCTAGATGTTGGGTGCAGTAAGCACTTTTCACACCTAATCTATAGTTACCCTTTCTTTCCCAGAGAAATGTACAATCTGTGGCTGTTTTTACAGATAGTCTGGCACTTTATCTGAATGGTTAAGCTTGTCATTGTTTTGAGTTGTTTTTATCTTTCCTGAAGCACCCATACGCTGTTCTGTGCAATGCATATGAGCTGGACATTGGCTTTTACTGGTTTTTGTTTTGTCACTGGATGCAGCGCAGGCAGAAAATTCCCTAGCCTGCCTGTCAACCATTTTTTCCTGCAGTGTGTTGTGGACTCACAGATTTTACTATAGTGGTGCTTGTTACTTACACTAGTTGTAGAACAGAGTAAGGCTAGGTTCACACCTATACAGTTTGCATCTGATCTGTTTCTGCCTTGCGTTTTTTTTTGCACATACGTTTTTGCTGCGTTTTTTTTTTTTTTAATTTAAATTTTTTTCTTGTTGTTAGGCAGATTCAAAATGCGGCAAAAACACACTACATGCTTTTCTGCAGTGTTTCCATCAAAGTCTAAAGATCCAAAAATGCAACTTTTTGCGTTTTAAAAAAGTCCCTGACCCTTTCCAAAAACCACACCTGGTGAAAATGCGGAGATGTGAACCTGTCCCATAGGAAATCATATTAAGTAGACTGTGTTGTGTTTCTGCAAAATGCTGTGGAAAACACTTAGGTGTGAACCTATGGTAATGTAATTGTGTCTTTCCTTAAAGTGAAGATTAAGGTAAAAAAATATAAATTTAACCCTGCCAAAGGATTAACATTTTGTACATCTAATTTTGTCAGTTCCCCACCTCTGCCACATTCGGGAGGTCAGCTCCTAACTTTCTGAGGCAATGATGTTTATGTATTGCCGAGTAAGCAGTCTGTAGACAGATTGGATATAATGTAAAGTAGTGAGTGTACCGCTTGTATAACAGTGTAAATTTGCTGTCCCCTCAAAATAACTCAACACACAGCCATTAATGTATAAACCGCTGGCAACAAAAGTGAGTACACCGCTAAATGAAACTGTCCAAATTGGGCCCAAAGTGTCTATTTTGTGTGGCCACCATTATTTTCCAGCACTGCCTTAACCCTCTTGGGCATGGAGTTCACCAGTGCTTCACAGGTTGCCACTGGAGTCCTCTTCCGCTCCTTCATGACAACATCACAAAGCTGGTGGATGTTAGAGACCTTGTGCTCCTCCACCTATTGTGTGAGAATGCCCCACAAATGCTCAATAGGGTTTAGTTCTGGAGACATGCTTGGCCAGTCCATCACCTTTACCCTCAGCTTCTTTAGAAAGGCAGTGGTCATCTTGGAGGTGTGTTTGGGGTTGTTATCATGTTGGAATACTGCCCGGTGGCCCAGTCTCCAAAGGGAGGGGATCATGCTCTGTTTCAGTATGTAACAGTACATGTTGGCATTCATGGTTCCCTCAATGAACTGTAGCTCCCCAGCACCGGCTGCACTCATGCAGCCCCAGACTATGACACTCCCACCACCATGCTTGACTACTTGATACTGTACATTAAGCCATATTGCTGAACCAGAGAATAAGTTTGTTTGCTTGCTTGGCTGTGTAGTGTGACCAATGGGCATACATCACAGGACTGGTTGTTCAGAATTAATACATCCTTTGGCAGGTAATATAGTTAACATGCTGTATTTGTATTTACACTTTGTATTTAGTTGGTTGTTTGACGTGCTGCTTTAAAGTAAGTTTGACTTAAAGTGAACCTTAAAGTAATCTTTTTTTTTTTTTTTTTTTAACTTATACTTACCCACTTTGTGCTACAATATTGTACTGAAAAGTCTCTCACTACCTCTTCTGGCAGTCCCCCCTCTGACGCTGTCTGCTTCTCCCTCCTCTGGATGCCTTCGCTGTAAGCTGGGTGCTAAGGAAGCACCCATGTGCACAGCTCCCAAGCCAGTCTGTGTGCATCCATAGAAACATACACAGAACTGGTAAGCCACACCCTGCTCCCTCCTCAATGGAGTTTGACTGACAGCAGCAAAAGCCTTTGGCTTCTGCTGCTCTCAGCATCTCAGGGTAGGACAAATAGCAGGGCGTTTTTACCTTAGTGCAGAGAATGCATTAGGGCAGGCCTTGAAATTTCCACTCGCCTGCTTGCCAATGGCGAGTGGAAATTATGGTGGGGGCAAGTGTGTCCCCCAGGGCTGTCTTGCTGAGCAGGCTCGGAGCTCAGGCCGAATCTGTCATTGGCACTGGGAGCCGTCAGACTGCTCAATAGCTGAGTGCAGTAAAAGTAAAGGAAGGAGTGTGTGCTGTGCTCTCTGCCTCCCCCTAGAGTGCAGTACCCAGCTCTGTGAGTGAACAACGAAGTTCTGCAACATTTTATAGGGGTATGTGTGTGTGCGCGCCTACCTAATTTCAGCTCACTCTGGTCACATTATCCTCTGTCAGCCAGTGGTGGCTTCAGGGGAGAGGAGAGAGCACTTAACAGCGTGTGTGTGTGTATGTATGTACATGTGTGTATCTGTACAAGTGTCTGCATGTTTGTACATGTATGTCTGTGTACGTGTATGTATGTACATGTGTCTGTGCGTGTGTGTATTTCTGTGTATGTACATGTATCTGTGCGTATGCGTGTCTGTATGTGCCTGTGTGTGTATAAATGTGTCTGTATGTGTGTGTACATGTGTCTCTGTGCATGTGTGTACATGTTTCTGTGTGTATGTACATGCCTGTGTGTGTGTACAGATGTCTCTGTTTTGTGTGTGTTTGTTGGTGGCGAGTAACTCTTAAGACCTGGCTAATAGCTCAGGACTTGAAATTTTAAGCCCTGCAATAAGGTACAAAAAAAAAAAAAAATAGGCCTTAAAACCACTTTAACTGTATCTGAGCACCACAAACTGAAAACAGTGTTTAAGTCATATTTTATATTCACAGCATTAACCCCTTTCTGCCCAGTGCCATTAGTACAGTGTCAGTGCTTTTTTTTTTTAGCACTGATCACTGTATTGGTGTCACTGGGGATGCCAGTGACACCAAGTAATTTTCCCCTCAGTTTTCCCCCCTGTCAGAATGCCCCTATATAAGTCGATGATCGCCGCCATTACTAGTAAAATAATAAGAAAACAAAATTCCAGTATCTAATACCTCCATTTGTAAATGCTATAACTCATGTAAACCAATTAATTTACATGTATTGGGATTTTTGTTTAGCAAAGACATGTAGCAGAATACATTTTGGCCTAAATTTATGATGAAATTTAGATTTTTTTTTTAATTTTAATTTTTTTTACTGGATGTCTTTAATAGCAAAAAGTCAAAAATATTATTATTTTTTTTTTTTCAAAATTGTCGCCTTTTTTTTTTTTTTTTTATAGTGCAAAAAATAAAAACGCACAGGCGATCAAATACCACTGAAAGAAAGGTCAATTCGTGGGGAAAAAAGGACGTAAATTTTATTTTGTTGCAGCGTTGCATGACTGCATTATTGTCAGTTAAAGTAATGGAGCGCCGTAACAAAAAATTGCCTGGTCAGGAAGGGGGAATAATTCCTCTGGAGGACAAGTAGTTAATCCTTGTCTCCATGCTTTTTGTTGAGAAAATACTTTGAAAAACATCCTTCCAGCAGTAAGGGCAAATGACTCGTGTAACCAGGGATGTTCGGTTCCTATCGCCCAGGACATTTAGTTCCAGGCAACGGGCAGGTAGTTTTTATCTACCTTTAGTCCTGATGCCACCCGATTGCTTCCACACAGTGCCAGTCTCTCCGACACCTCCCCCCCCACCTCCCAGGTGTCCTCGGCTCTGCTTGCCATCTGTAGGCCAGGGATCGGCTCACCGCCGTCGGCTAGAGGAGAGCGAACAGGTCTATCCCCCCCCTTCTTGTCCTGACCCGGAAGCGACGTTATGATGTCACTTCCGGGTCTCCGTTGAGAGATTCCCGGCCATGGAAGTTGAAATGTGCACCGCATTACATTCAGGGGAGACATGCAGGGTCTTTTAGACCCTGGATACCTCAATAAAGAGAACCTGTCACCAAAAAATCATCACATAGGGGATGGGCATGTTGGAAATTTTTTTTAAAATGGACAAATTTCGAATCAGTGATGGGAGAATCGTGTGGGGAAATAAAAACAAAAAAGAAATAAGCATGAGCTGTGACCTGGAAGGAAAAGAAAATTCTTGGCCATGAAAATTCTTTTCTGTAGCAACACGAGGTGAAATTGAAGGCTTGGTTGGTTGAATTTCAAAAACAATGGTGGCACCATTGGATTACAAAACACACGAAATTTCCAATTTTCTAAAGAAAACTCGTTCAGAATTCGACCCATGTATGACCTGCAAAACATTTCCATAAGGAGAAGAAAGCAATGGCAGTGTTTCTGGAATGGCAGGTTTCATTTAAGTTGTATGATTTCTAGTAATTACAATATGGAACCACCCAAACAAATCCTGAGATTTAAATTGCACGTCATAAAAGAAATGTGTACTCTGCTGTTACTGACCTCATTCTAAACATGCTAGTTGCCTGGCTGCTATGCAGATGCTTTTACTTCATTGTTTTTTGAATCACTAGGCCAAAACAAGAAATTCTGACTTTAAGGGTTTTTCACATTGTTGCGCTTTCGATGTGTTCCCATTGACTTACAATGGAAAGTGCCTTTTTGATGCACTTTTAAAAAACTGCTCCATGCAGGACTTTTCAAAGCGCAGCGCACCTGCAGTGTGATCAGTTATATAGGATTTAATGGGAAATAGTTTTCATGTGCTTTTATCGCCCTGTAAAAGCACCGCAAAGGCACACCAGTGTATGTAACTAGTCTCTTGGACTTGGTCTGTGAATTACAAGTATTGAATCCAAACAGTCAGGCAACTAGCATTTTCAGGAGGGGGATGTCTATGGCAGTCCTACATATTTTGCTCTCTTGACACATGATCTTTAATTTAGGAAACCAATTACCCAAATGATATTTTCCTCTGAAATACTATTATTGGACAAAGGCATTCACATCACATTTAAAGGATAAATTTACCTAGTAGACAAAAATAATAAATGCGCATTTTTTTGCAGGAAAGCATTGCACCAGTGATCAGTAGATCGCTGATGCCATGCAGGATGTATGAGCAAGTGGATATTCTGACAGGAAGCTTCAGTGAACTACCATGGCGCCATAGCGCCGTGGTAGTTCATTGAAAGCTACAAGCCGAGAGCCGCTATGGCTGTTGGAACATGCAGTTCATTAATTCATGGAAATCCGTGAATGACTGACGTGTCTGTGTGGGCGGAGCCCCCTCACGGCTGCGCTGTTTTCAAATTTGACAGATAGTACGTGGAGACTTCATACTTCTTGTACGATATGTTGGGGGGAGGCTGCAGCTATGGGAACATGTTACAAGGTCCACCCTAAAAACAGGTGGAGCATGTAACATTTTCCTAAAGGTGAACCTATCCTTTAAGGCAGAAAAAAATCATGGTCAGAAGCAGCATCATCCGTCTGTTCTCTTTCCCTGTAAGTAGGCTTCCAATGTTAGATTGACAGCACTATACAACTCAGTACTGCCTAATTGGCACTATTGAGGGCATATTCTAAGAAGCAGAACAGGATACAGGTCTGACCAACCCTCAAGTCCCAGGTAATGGCCATAGGTCATCTTCATTATGTACTGTCAAGCTTTGTTCTCTCTTCTTTCCTCCCTTAACTTGTTATAATAGTTCCCATTGATCATGTTGTATAAGGAGCAATATGAAGTGTAATCTGTTGCAGTCGGTTAATTTCTTATATCTGACCAGCAGTCAGTGCAATAAAAGAGGAGTTTTGATTAGCTGTGCACTTCATTAAACAATGTTGACGCTGCCAAATTGAAGTAACATAGCTGCTATGGCCTTTTTCATGTGAGCATGAAGCCATGTGTTTTGCATTTCTAAAAGCATACAGTGCATTCACAAAGTATTCCGACCCCCTTCACTTTTTTTCAATTTTGTTATGTTGCAGCCTGATACTACAGTTGTTAAATTAATTTTTTTCTCATTAAACTATATGCAGTACCCCTCAATGACAAAGCGAAAACAGAATTTTAGAAAGGTCTGTGAATTTATTACAGATCAAAAAAATTGAACTGTCACATTGTCATAAGTATTCAGATCCTTTGCAACAACACTTGAAATTTAGCTCAGGTGCCTCTGATTTCTCTTGAGTTTCTTCACCTTGATTGGAGTTCCCCTGTGGTAAAATAAATTGATTGGACATGATTTGTAAAGGCACACACCTCTCTATAAAAGGCCTAACAACTGACAGTACATACTGTATTAGAGCAAAAGCCATGAGGTCAAAGGAACTGCTTGCAGAGTTTAGAGACACAGTCATTGCATGGCACAGATCTGGGGAAGGCTGCAAAAAGGAAAAAAAGCTGCACTGATGCTTTCCAAGAACACAGTGGCCTCCATAATTCTCAAATGGAGGCACAATCAGGACTCTTCTAAGAGCTGGTCGCCCGACCAAATTGAGTAACCAGGAGATAAAGGGCCTTAGAGAGGTGACCAAGAACCCGATGGTCACTCTGACTGAGCTTCAGAGATCCTTTGTGGAGATGGGACAAAGTTTCAGAAGGACAACCATGACTGCAGCCCTTCTGGAGGTCGTGGGAGCCATTGGCTTTCTGCTGCCATCAACCAAATGCGCTGAGGAGGGAATGGGGGGGCAGATTAAATTGTGCGTTTACACACACAGCCTGTCTAAGGATCAAGCCCACCCATCTGCCGTTATAACAAGCGGTTTGCTATTGCGGCATTTGCAGAAGAGGAGTTTTGGGCCACTCTGTAATACCATTTATTGCGTAATGTAAACGTTTTGCTTTCATGCATCCTTGTGCACAACCACCACCCCAAACTGTTTAGTCTTTGTTGTAGCTGAAAGAGAAGTCATATGTTGGCTTGGTATATACAGTTAGGTCCATATATATATTTGGACACAGGCACAATTTTAGTTTTTTTCAGGTGTTTACCAAAACATATTCAATTCTATAGTTATATAATGGATATGGGCTGAAAGTGCACACTCTCAGGTTTAATTTGAGGGTATGTACATCCAAATTGGAGGAAGGGTTTAGGAATTACAGCTCTTAAGAGCAGCCACCCCCCTCTTTTTCAAGGGACCAAAAGTAATTGGAGAATTTTATCAAAAGCTGATTCATGGCCAGGTGTGGGCTACTCCTTCATTATTCATCATCAGAATCAACTCCAGACCTTTTACCTGTCTAACTAAGTGTGGTATTTGTATGTAGAATCTATTGCTGTGAACCTACATCATGCGTTCAAAGGAGCTGTCCATGCAAGTAAGGCTTCAAAAACTAAACAAATCCATCACAGAGATGGCAGCAACATTAGGAGTGGCAAAATCAACAGTTTGGTACATTCTGAGGAAAGAAGAATGCACTGGGGAGCTCAGTAACATAAAAAGGCATGGATGTCTAAGGAAGACAACAGTGGTTGATGATCGTAGGAGCCTCTCTATGGTAAAGAAAAACCCATTCACAACATCCAGACAAGTGAAGGACACTCTCCAGGAGGTGGGCATATCATTGTCAAAGTCTACAATCAAGAGAAGACTTGACGAGAGCAAATACAGAGGGTTCACCACAAGGTGCAAACCATTCATAAGCCTGAAAAGCCAGGTTAGACTGCCAAAAAACATCTAAAAAAGCCAATCTAGTCCTGGAAAAACATTCTTTGGATGGATGAAACTGAGATTAATCTATACCAGAATGACGGGAAGAAAAAAGT